GCATGCACACAAAATACACTGTGGCTTATTTATGTTATGCCTTTTATTGATTATTACCAGATGGGAGGGCAAAGCAATAGCTGACAGATTGCCATATGGATCTGATTTAATTTACCCTGAGTTATAGGTTTGCAATTCTCTCTTCTCACTTTTTGGCTCAGAAACCTACAATTTGCTAAGTGGGAAAAAATGTAAACTTACTGTAAGGAGCACATTTCCATCATAAGCCCCCTAATGCCACTCTCAGGGGCTGAGCTATCTTTCTCTACAAGGACAGCCGCTCCAGCACCACTTCTTTAAGCCACAGTCAGTACCATGAGCAGGAAATTTTGTTGCAGACCGATGAACAAAAAAGTGTTTCAATACTGATGAGCCTTGCAGACAATAGATCCTAACTGAAGGAGTTTTGTTTAAGATTCTGCTTTGCACAAAGCTGCTTCAGCAAGTCTCATACAACATTCCAACAGAAAATCCAGAGGCTGCAGTCGAGGCATCATTCTCTTCTGGAAACTGGGAGACCTCAGCAGTTGCTTTGAGCTTCCAAGCCTTGGCTCTGGAGGCTTTCTAAATACTTACTCTTCCTACAGGAGTCAGGTATAGCAGGAGCTATAAACTCTCTCAAAGTAACAAATGAAAACAGCCTCCCCACACAACTGTGACCTTCTGAGACACAGGCAGTACGCATTAGAAGGCTGGAGTGTAAATGGATACTTCAGAGACACTTTAAAAAAAAGGTCTAATTGATGGAAAAAGCTTTTTGGTCTGTCTGCTAAAAGCAGATTTGAAACAATGCATTTTCAGTACAGTTTAACCTTTAATTTCTATTGTTTTGATTTTACAGTCACCTCCATCCCACTTCCAAAAGCAGAGGGCAAACAACCCTCTACTGCTCATAAGTTTTACTTATATACACCATTATAGCTTTCTAACCTTTCCGCTTTTCAAATCCATCACTTATGCCTACTGCCAAACAAGTTGCTGCAGGCTTTTCAGTTCTCTCTAAATCCATAAAAGAGATCTAAAAGCAGTGTCATGGGCATCAGAGAAACAACATACAGGGTCAAGACAGAATGAAAAGGAGAGATGCAAACGAGAAAATCAGCTCTAGAGAAAAAAGTGTACCATGCTTCAATGCACCGTTCATGTCTTCTGAGGGTTACAGGCAGATTCCAGCCTTTTTGACACTGAAAGGCATGAATCCCTTCTTTCAGTTCTTGAGTAAAGAAAAACTGATAGCCAGAATTTGCAATTAGTCAGAGCTTTGTTCCTCAGTTTTATGACTCCTTCTGTGCAATCTTGGACAGCTGGGAGGGTTATTCAATTTCCTTATCCTTTAAATGGGAATAAACACTAATTCATGCACAATAATTGCTGGGGGAATTAGCAAAGCTTTTTCAAAATCATAGTAAAAAGCTATGCTCCATCTACTCTGCCTAGACATAATTCTAAAACCACAAAAAAGAGGAGAAGGTTGCACCCTATCTGGTAAACTATTCTCAGCTGAAAATTTAATACCCTGCTGGAACAAATAGCAAAAGCCCTGCTGATTTTAACACAGTTAGAATTTCACCCCACTAAACAAATTTCCTAATGGAAGTCATGCACTTCAAACATTTGCACAGTAAAGCCATATATATTCAGTTTCAGAAAGGTATTTTGTAATTCATGCATGACTGATGCTTTACAAAAAAAAAAAATTAAATAAAATTTCAGTGCTCGGTGGAACCTGTACAAAACATGGTGGTTGGCCTTAAGGTCATGCTATTTGTAAAAAAAAAATCCCCTATTTTTAAATTCAGTGGCTGCTAGAGCGAGGAATCCATTTTCTATTATCATTGTTAACAAAAGCTAACATCTTAACACTGCAACACATATAATCAATGCCCAAAGACACACTTTAGAAAGCATATAGACATTTGTAGCACTTTCCTTTCCTCAGCACAAGAGTTCAATTTACTGCTACACTGTTGGTCACCTACCAAGCATGTGACAAAAGCAGTTTGGAAATCCATAGTTCTCAAGTCCCAGCCCTGTGCATTAGCAGATAAGGCACAATGTTTCCTTCTGTGCACGTGCTGCTCTGATGGAAGGTAAGAAGCCATCTTACAGAAACTATTATTTCATCATACATGGAGGAATATTACAGATGCTTCCCTGAAGGTGAACAACAAGAGGTAATATATGAGAGCTTCTCTTGACAGGGGAAGGTCTGTGTGAGACGACTTGTGTGCCCAGGACTGCTGCTTTCACCTCTCTGGAGAAACAAGATGACATCCTGATGATACAGCCTTGATCATTTAATCAGTGACACAGTTCTTCATTATTGGATCATGTTGGCCCTTATTTGGAAAGAGGCAGGGCTGTACTGAGGCCCTTCAGTTTCAGCCTAAGGCTACTGCATTTGTGCATCACCTCTGAACTTGCACAGTTAGTGGAACAATTAATAGGATACAATGAGGGGTTATTCAATCAGTGTTACAAGACAGAGGAGGAAAAAGAGACTCAGGTTGGTATATTACATACAGGCATGAGGGCACACTGGATACTTTGGGAAATGGGTTAAAATCTTCCTCCTGTAGCCATAAAGTATAGGTGTGTACCAAATGTCTTTTTCTAACAGAAGACAGAAAGTTTACTTTTTTTAGAAAGCAGCTTAGAGGCCAAACTCAGTGCATAATGCGATAGGGTACATTTCTTTCATCTCTATGAATGCACAAATCCTAACATTCACACTGAAAAGTCAAATTCAGAAATGCTGTGTTTCAAACTGCTTTCACCAAACCAGAAAAAAAGCAACCAAAAGACAGTTTTACTGCCAGGTTTTGCATCTGCATTTCAACTCAGAGTCTCAGGCATACCTATTCAATGTTAGGTAAATCATTAGGAGACCTGAGTGGGATTTAAATGACAACGTGTGTGCAAGTCCCTCCAGTACAGGCATGGGCTGTGTTATTTACCTTCTTGAGATGCCACATGCACTGTACTACACAAATATTCATATCACTATTGTGTTGGTAGAGTGTAGCTCAAATGTACTTAGCAGCTCTCCTGGGTTTCTTGATTTAGCTGTTTCTGTACCAGGAAAAAGTAATATCACATCTGACACCAAACAAACATGCCACTTAATTGTCCATGTACCAGGGTTTAATAAAAACCTGTGGATGCCTCCTTACATAAAGCTATGTAAGAAACTTCAGCTTTATTAGTTATACTGGTTAAACAGGTTTGCATATGATTTGTAAAAATCCTTGTGGCATTGCCTAAAGTCCAGAGTTTGTGTTCTGACACATCTGTGACAACAGATTAAAACTAGATGACCCAGGTGTTCTTCTGCACCTTCCTGACAGATGCTGCTAGGCAGGGAAATGGACCTAAATCAGAGTTGTGGGCCATAACCCCTTCAACTGTCTAGTTTTAATCCATTGCCACAAATCTGCTGGATACCATAGAAGCAGTTATATTGTCCAAAAGTGCTTTTGTCAGTATAGCTCATTTCACACATTGAACCACTGCAAACTATGCTAGCCCTAGCACTTTTTTGCTAGTTTAACTCTGATTCCATTAGTAGGGTTTTATTGGAAAGTTATCCTGTAAAGCTATCTGTAAAGCCAGGTCTTTCATTAGGAATGAAACTGCTAACAAGTTTGACATTTAAATTACTATTACTAGCCAGCTAAGTTATCTTGCTGAAATGAATGGGCCATTTGGACCTCTCAGAACTACTGCTGCAAGCTCTTTGCTCTCCCCGTTGTAATTCAGGCTCCTGATATTTTTTTTTTCTTTTTTGCAAGCAGAACCCATAAAAACATCATTATTTTTCAAAATTCAGAGTATCAATCCATTGATAAAAAATGGTGCCTGACATGATCTGCTGTCATTTTCCGACCTTCTCCAAGCACTTACCTGCAACAGGGGAAAAACCCCAAGGTTACCTGAAAAGATCCCAAGCTCCTGCTTTGTCCAAGAAAATACAATAAGAACAATCTCATTGTTAATGCTCAGGTTCTCTCCTATGTGACTTTGGGCAAATATTTTTGTTTTCCTTGCTGCTGTTTTCCTCTCTGATGAAAGGATCTAGTTTTCTTCCTCTTACCAGCCTGCTGTGACGGACCTTGCAGGTCACTGCATGAGTAGGGAGAGCAACATCCCTTTTTCAAATGCTTAAGAAAACAAAAAATAACAATTTACTTTTGATAAGAGACTGCTGCCAAAAACAAACTTGTAAATGGATCAGTTGTGCTCCTTCTGGCTGCTCCTCTACTGAGTTGAATCTTTTTGGTTGAAAGCTGCAGAAGTCCTGTTGTGACAGCCACAGGGACTCCTAGCTGAGACTTTGGCTGCATGATGGAAGAGGCAATGCTGCAGGTGTTGACATGGATCAGAAAAAATGTACCATGGCAGCTCCTGAGAAAGTAACAAATTGTACACTTGAAAGCCTGTGAAAGAAGCAAACTGCATACTGAAATAAAGACATTTGATCATCCAAGAAACAAGGCCCTGACTCATCCAAGGATGTTTTGGGACAGCCCCAAGCTGTACTCAAGTCACATGATGGCTTTGCTTCTTATCAAAAATCAGGACAGCTCTATTTGCCTTGGGTTAACTGGTTCACACAGCCCTTGCCTACAAATCAGCTCATGTAGCTGTTCATTAGGATGTCGGCTTATCACGAAAGCAAACCAAAAAACAATTACAGAAAGTAAAAACTCACAGGTTTAAGGATTGGATGGAGGGAAGGAAAAATACTCAGAATTTATGGGTAACCAATATCCTGTTTTCTTCAGACTTACTTGTTAATTCAATAGACTGTGGATTACAGTAAAAAGGAGATTCCAGATTATGAAAAGATCTTGAAAAATCAGTGGTTACTAAATAAATACACGCAGCAGAAGAGTGCTCTTGATTTTGTACATGAAAGGGGGAAAAAAAGACACAGGAGAAACCTTGACATTCCTCTTCCAGGGACAGCAACACAGCCCAGAATTACAGTCCCATCTCACCTGCTTCATGCTCCAAAGAGTAATGCCTGTGAATGGAGGCAGCCCTGTCCCTCATTCTTCCCTGTTTGTTTCCATCACCTGCAGCATGCTCGCTCAGGGGCTGACTAATGCTGCGTAATTGACGGATATTCACACTCTGGAGCATCATGGCCTGCTAAGCAACAGCTGGGAAGAAAGAGATTCTTGTAAAACAAATAGAACCAGAATTAGAAGGCAAGGATTTTAACTAAAGCTAGGTCTTCTGATGCATATTTCTGACAGCTCTTTCAGTTACACTAAATGCTTCAAGATGTACAAAAATCTGCATTATTTAAGACAGCTGGTTCTCTTTGCCATCAAGTGTTTCTGAAGATGCATTTTTACAGTTTGAAAGCTACTATGCTAATTCATTGCCATGTATTTGAAAATTGCTTGCTAGAATAAACAAACTAAACCAAAAACCACACTATTTTCATTTGCTGCCCTTTTTTTACAGGTCATTGCAAGGATTCTTGAAGCATAGAGAAAAAGGTGGCAGGAGTATTTTCTAAGGGAGATAAATCTAGACCTAATTTTTCAGAGTTATGAGAGCTGCAGACAGTAAAAACACCCACAAGGCCAGGCATAAAACAGAGTAAGGTAGAAATTCAGAAAACAGGTCAGGCTTGCTATAAGGTCTCAAGGGAAAATGAAGAACACTACTAAGCTTTATTCTTTGGGTTCATGTAGCTGCCACAGATTAGATGTTTGCTGGGTTTCACCCACAGGTGGCCAGACAACATTTGGCAATGTCACTTTAAGATTGCTTGTAGTCAAATTTAGAGCCAAATATAGTGACATTCTCATATCAGATTCAAGAGCTTGGTGTTCAGGCCCTGCTCAGAGGGTGAAGAACTGGAGTAAAAGAGCACAAGCTCACAGGTATGATATCAAAGAAAATAAAAACTCTTTAGCAGGTTTGTTCCTCTTTCCCTTTTTTCTTCTATTTTTTGCCTTCTTTTTTTCTTTTTTCAAACCTACTGTACTGGCTCTGTATGATACACAGATCAGACTGACTTAAGGATTTCACAGAGATGGCTCTTGACGTAAAAACAAGATATTTGTGCTTATCTCTCTGAGCACAGTTCTGCACTCGCTCCTGCCTGTTTCACTCCAGTGACTCCAGAGTTCTCCATTCAGCATGTCTGGCTCTTACAGGGTTGATCAGCAATAAGTATTTTGGTCACAGAGGTTTTCAAACACATGGGAGAAAAAAATACCATTATAAATTTAGCTATTTGCACCACAGGGATAATCCAAAAGATACATCTGGTTGAGTAACTGATACCAGGCCAGTTTTAATCTCCTTGTCTTCTTTCTTCCGCTGCACTTTCCTCTCACTGAACAGACACACAAACTAGGTGAGTGAGTGGGTGGGAGGTGGTATGGAGAAAGTGCTAGCTCAGCTTGCTAATGACTTAAACTGCTCAACTTCATGACAGATTTTGGCAGGTTCTGAAAATCATGATAGTAGTAACTGGCCCATGTTATATTGTTTCCATCTAAGCTTTCTGGAATACATTAAACTAACCAGTTTCTAAAATAATATTATTTTTTCATGTAGTACTTGGAACAAGAAGGAACAGAAGAAAAACTATTCTTTCACTTTCTACCAAGCCAATGATACAAATAGTTTATTAAGCAACACTGAAGGCATAAGTCCCATTTTGGTTTTGTCTACTTCCTTTTCATAGATTCATGGAAAGTCAGGAGTTGAACATCCATTAATACAGCTTCTCTTATCAAATAGCACAGTCTTTTATCAACTTCATTGAATGTCTTTTGATGGCAAATAATTACACTAAGAACAATGTAAATAAATGAGAAACAGATCATTTCAGTTCCTGTTGGAAATAAGAGACCAGATTAATGCAAAGATGATACTGAAAACAATTGTGAGTGGATTAAAAAACCTTCTGTTTACTTACATAGACAGAATTCATTTCTAGAACAACATTTATTGTGCAGTAATTGTAAGGTGCATTTTGTACTTCAAACTATTTTGTTTCTTCATAAATGCTAGAATTCATATCCTAAAGCACTCTAAGGTTCTTAGTTTCTTTTTTTCTAATGCTTCAATTTAGGGAGCCACTTTAGAATAAGACTTTATAGACTTCTGAGAAAATAATTTTTCCTTGTTCATGTATAAAGGGGAAGTGAACATAAAGGCTAGCACTAGATGTCCAAAGTTCCAGCCTTCCACCTGCTGAGATTTAGATCAAACTAAACCACCTTCTCTGCTTGTGTGGCTGGGTTTTCAGTGATAAGAGTTCTTGAAAGGGAGCTATCTCTGTGAGTTTCCAACAATCACTTCATCCAGTTAAGAAAACCTGTCTTCAGCATGCAGAAGCAGCAGACTTTATCATGACTGGTGAAATTATAATTCATTATCAAGTGCTCCAACAGAATCCATCCACCCATGGAGTCATAGAATAGTTTGGATTAGAGGGGTCCTAAAAATATCACCAAGTCCAATGCCCCCTGCAATGAGCAGGGACACCTTCCACCAGATCAAGTTGCTCAGAGCCCTGTCCAATCTGATCACAAATATTTCCAGTGATGGAGCATCTACCACCTCTCTGGGCAACATGTTCTACTGTCTCACCTCCCATCTTGTAAAAAACTTTTTCCTTATATCTAGTCTATCTTCACCATGACGCCTATTTGTGCTCCATGTGCTAAAGACCAGCCAAAGCCATTTGGTTACTGCTGTTTTTTGTTCCTAGGGAAGAAATCTGCTGGGAACAGGCAAAGTCACCAAGAATAAGTTACTCCTCCAGATACAGTCATTTCATTGACTCTGTTTCAAAGAAACCTGGGAATAAACCAGCATGGGTGGCTGAACCATCTGCTGTTGGGCCTAGAGGCAATCTTGAGCAATTGAGACTATGAATTCTCATTCAGAAAATGGTTACACCCCACTCTCTGCTGTCCAGAAAAACATTTCAGAGAGAGTTTTAAGGTACTTAGATCAGAGGCTGCTAGCAGAGAAATAGCCACATCATCAATCTCAAATGGTACAAAGTAGCTCAAATGTTTATTATGATTCTCAGATGGGAATCATAAACTGTGTTGAGCTTTATGGAAACACTGAAAGCAGTACTTGAGCTAGCTAACTTTTAAGTTGTTTTGGAAAAGCCTTTGCTAACTACAATTACTACAATATTGGCACATCCCTAGGTTGAAAGATTTTTCAAGAAAGAAAATACCCATTTGACAATACACTGAATAACTAACAGTATCTATGCTAGCACAAGCAATAGCAGTCCAATGCCCAGGCGGGATTTTATTCACAAAGTTAGAAGAAAGTGTTGATAAAAATAGAATGTCAGATATTGTCAGGAACATGATTTTTGAGTAGGCCCAGTGAAAAAGCAGTTACTTGTTTTTGACCAAGTGTTATATTTGCTCATGTCACCATTAAAGCAGGAAATTCTCAAGAAATGTAAACGTATGCATTTCAAACAAACCCCTCCCAAACTAACATTGTAAGGTCTCACAGAAAACTCTCTATATACTGTACATACTCTGTCATTTTTGTTCTTATTGCTTCTTCCCTTTAATTATTTTCAAACTTTCATTCTTGATGTACCTTCTCATACTTACACATTCTCTGCCCATCATTCACCACCTACCTTCCAAAATTAATAATTAAGAGAAGATCTATGTCTAATGTGCTAAAATCACTGTGTTAATTATTTTCTAATGAAGATTATTAAAAATAAATGGAAATAAAGTGAAAGGTGATTTTTACTTTTTTTTTTTTATTAAAAGAATATGGATCTGGTTTGGGTTTTTTTAATTTTTCTGTGATTAATTGTCACAGACTCCATGACTTTGACAGCATTTTAAAAAAAGCGTCTTCTAAATAAGTTAAAATCATGCCATACAGCAAACTGAAATGAAGAAATGAATCACATCTCCCATGGGTATAAATCTGCAAAATTTCTTTTGGGCTAGTTGTTTTATTCGGATCTGCTGGGAAAGTGGTGCTGGGGAGGGCTTAATCCCCCTTTGCATCCTTCTTCCCCTCTCCCGCTACACTCCTATCCTCTTATCATCCCTTTTTGACTGGCAAGACTTAAAGTCAGATATATTTTCAGGAAGTTTTCATAAGGCTGGTGACACTTCAAACATGCTAGAGGGAGCCAAGAGAGAGAGATAAACTAAGTAACTATATTTGTACGCATTAGCTTAAAGCAATTAGATCCTGTAACAGGAGACCTAACAGATTGGTGCCTAGCAAGAGTATATATGACTAATTCTGTGTGACTGTGTCAAGAAGAGCAGTTTGCCCACCAGAGAAGCTAACATGTTGCTATATAAGAAGCAGTTCACTTTGAATTCACATTTTTAAGATTGCAGCTGCTCTCAACATTTAGGGGTATTTTTTTTAGTTTTCTTCTTCCTTTTTCCCATAATTATTTTTGACAACTCCATCCCTCCTACTCAGCCCAGTGCAAAGCAACGCAGAGGAAAAAGCACTGTACTTCCACCAAGTGAATGAGTAGTCCTTTCTTGTCTGTCTAACCTCTCTCCTCTTCTTCCTCCTCCAATAAGCTCCAGAGCCAAGATACCACAGAGGACAAAACCAGAAGATTCACTCTCCTAGAAAAAGCAATAAAACTCTGTTCACTGCAGTGACAACAACATCTGGCTTTATGTTAAACCTTTTCTCACCTCCTACCCACCCTCAGATTCTCCCTGGTGTAAAGTGGCCATCCCAGAAGGATGCATTTCACAGTTTCTCCTTAGACATTACTTTGGACTATAAGATTGGCTAAAAGCAAAATTATTTTGCATGTGGTCCAAGCTAGGCCACATCTGAGCTCACTTTACAATGGTACTTGCTCTGATGCAATTGCTTCTTGATTCAGTGGTATCTGATATTGTGATAACACTGAGAAATCACTACAGGCCTTGACAGCTTGTCCTCGCAGGTTTCCTGGCCTCTGGTCCTTGGGAGGAGGGAGATGGAGGATGAGTGAAATCCTGCACAGCTTCAGGTTGCACAGCTCAGCAGCAACCCATCCCCACACAGCTGTTAAGTTAAAGATCTTTACCCTCCTCCTTCTCAGTGAACCATCTTACCTATGTCTGAAGTCACACATTTTGGATCAGGTTGACATTACCTTCCTGGAGAGAGCAGTAGAAAACAGATCCATGACTTTCCACCTAACTGAGGCTGGAGAAAATTACCCAACTCCTCTTCTTCAGCTTCCCTTTCAGTAATACTATCAAATATTTTCAAGCCTTCAGTTCAAGCAAGTGAATAACACTTGAAGCAAGGCCTAAGAAACTGATTATTACGTTTCCCTGTAACACAGCTGATAGGTTTCTCACAAGCTTAATTGTATTTTTTTAAAGTAGTACAGGAAAACTCCTGCTGTAACCTGACACGGGGAGTGCAGGAATTGATAAACAATACAAAGACCAATTGCTTTGAGAACAACTGATGAGATCATTTACTTATGAAATAGCAGCCTTGACAACAAGGATCAGGTGTCCCTGAACTAGTTCCTGAAGTGTAACCATACCAGGTAATTAATATCAGCCCTGAGAGAGGCTAACATTTCTGTTCAAATCACATTTCTTTCTTCTATCCATGAGCTCTTCTGCAGGCTCGAGGCACAGTGGAGCAGAACAGGGAGTGCAGGTACTACACAGGCTTTATTGTCTGGAGAACATGCTGCTGCCTAGTAGTAGAAAAGGCAACAAAGAGACTGCTGGAGGGTCACTAAGAAATAAAATTTTGAAAAAAAATATTAAAAAGAGATGAAACACTGGATATGATTGTTATTACAATTTGGCTCAGAAAGCAGAGAACTTTCCAAGGCCATTTCCAGCCTTTGCAAGAGACTGTGCTCTTGGAACACAGAACAGAGTAGGCTGAGTGGGCTTGCCATGCCCTGTCACACTATTTACAGAAATTTTGCCTTTTTTAACCTCTACTTTTCTGAAAGGAAGGGCAAAAAAGTGTCCTTAACACTTCAAAAATAGAGAAAATGCCAACCCAAAACAGCAAAAGTAATTAAAACCTAAGGCCAGCTTAAAAACCATGTTGGAAGTCCTGCAGCTGCAGCCTTCAAAGGCTTACTTTTTTCTGGAGAGGGGTGGAGAAGAGAGCTTTGATTTAAAAACCACTACCACCACCACCACAATGGATCATTTGATCTTTTGGTCCCTCCTGTTTTATTTTAATTAATGCTTCAAAGTAACAATTTAAAGTCAATCCAGCTTTATGAAAGGTACATTGCAGGACTAAGAGAGATTTGAAACCAAGCCCAATACAGTCAGCAGAGACAAGCTCAAAATGGCCACTCAGCAAATAAAAAGCATAACATGCTGGTAGTGTTTTGAGCCATCCGTCAAAAAAATCAGGCAGCACTTATAAACACTGTCATTTTTTTTTCCCCTGGCAATGAAAATTTTTTAAACTCCTCATTGGTAGGCTTTTGTGCCACTTGTGAATCATTTTTTTTCATTTTCTTAAGAGACCATTCATTCATTTTAGGTTATTAATAAATAGACTCCTACATATATGTGCATCAAGTATGCTGTCATTTCCCAAGCCAAATGCAACATGTGTTAGCAACATCACACCATTTGATTGATCCACTCTTTTTCCAGATTTTTGAGTTCTGAAACACCACAATTTTCTACTTGAAGCAGGCATCAAGGCTCTAAGCTATTCATGGCTGCACTCTCCTGTCTACCTGGACCAGGTACAGGACCCAGAAGGACCAAGGCTTGTGAAGAAATGAGATTACTTAAAATCTACCAGAAGCAGACACCTTTCTAACTCTTCCAGGCAGATTGCAACCAGTTGACAGCCTGCCTTGGTAGTATTAGAAATTGGTATAGAAACTTGTTAGTATTTAATATGGATTAGGTGCCAACATATTTATGTCACTCTCCATTAGAAGAGCAGTAAATCTGAGATGTGCTATGAAAAAAACACTGAGTTTCATTTGTCACAGGTATGAAAAATGTCCCTTTCTCCCTTGCAGAGGAAATGTTATCCAAGTCACAATGCTGAACTCCGCAGACTACATCTATAGTACAACTGTTCAGTGCTTCTGGCTTTTGTTGGTTTTGAGAAGACAAGGGAGAGAGAGGCACATCAAACCTTCACATGCAGTGTTACACCTTGGACAGCACTATCCCCTTTCCACCATTTCTTCAATGGACATGTGGGAAAAGAAGAATTGTCCTGTGTGAAATCTGGATCCAGTGGTGAGGGAGGCAGGAAAGAAAGTTATCAGGAAAGAGTGTGTAGCACAACAAGGTGGGCACTGGGGCTGCTGCTCCAGGATGCGCCAGCACGGCTCCTAGTTCCTCTGCTTCATTTGGCACAGCTACTCCTTCCCCCTGGTCCAAAGGGACAGCAGCTCACAGCTGTGGATACATTACCCTCGGTCCCTTTCCCCTGAGAGCAGCTCTGCAAAGGCTATCAGGGGCCTCCATCACATTAGTGCTGCTACTAGAGCAAGACAGTGCTTACAGAAATGCATTTCAGTCCTGACTCCTGCAGACACGCTTTGGCTACTTTTGTCCACTTAATGAGAATATAATCTAGGGCCCAGCTGGTGTAAGTCTGTACAGAAGCAATGAGCCTAAGGAAACAGTGCCAATTTACCTCACTGAGGATCTGGCCCAGGGGATTCATAATGGATGGAGTTGTCTAGTGAAGAAGAGGCTGGAACAGCTCGAGATGACTGCATTTCTCCCCCACTTTCACAGTTCAGACAGCTTCTGCCAAATGGTATGAGCAGCTGGACATCTCTTTCAAATCCATATTTAATTCCCTAAAGCTGCATTGAAATGAAGAATTCTACTCACAAGAAAAGGGGGAAAAAATCAATATTTTGCACTGCTTTAGCTTCAAATTTTAATGAACAAGGAAGGTGATGCTGTAGTGTAGGAAGAAATCATATAATCAGAGTCTCAAGGCTGAGGAAAACAAGAAAAAAATAATTTAAAAACATTTCCTTTTTTATTGCTTATGACAAATTTATTTATTAAACAAATCTAACATCTTTTTTACTCAAGAGTGAGTAGTAATAGAAAAAAATTGCAGTCTGAGAATTGCAGAATTGTAGTCTAAAATGATTGTGCAAATTAAATGAGAAAATACAAGTTATTATCACTCATGATATTTCCATCCATAGACAGAGATACTGTAAATATACCAAACTGCTTGAATTGGGAGAGATTATTATTAAGATTAATCTTTCTATCTGCATTCTCCCTTCCACCAAAAAAGTTAAACAAATTTCAAATCAGCAAATAACTATACCTATAGATGGAAAATAGATGTTCTTAAAATTCTGATAGAAATTTTCTTCTTCACCTTCCTAATTTAAGCAGAAGAAAGTCCTCTTTAATAGTGCTTGGTGCTAAAAAATTAATCAAATATATCTGAGATGCACCTGAACATAGGGAATTGAATATAGGAAAGAAATAATCATGTCAGGAAGTGTTATTGAGTTTGTTGGGACTATCTAAAATGTATGAGGATACATTACATTATGGAGAGGAACAGAATCCATGTAATGTAGTGTCTTAGATTATATTTATGAGTTCTGGTCTTAAGAATCTGTTTTGAGGTCTCTCAAGTGGTTTTTCAGTCTTGTTTAAAAAGGCATTTTAATGATATGACCCACTGGATTTTGTTTACAGATTTGGAAAAGACCGAGGTGAAACCCTCAGGTTTCACTCAACAGGGTTAAAGAGGTCTAGTTTAGCATATAGACATTTCTGAAAATTTTTGTTAGCACTTAATACAACATTCCACCAAATGGACATCTGATCTTTTCTAATGGGTCACATTTTAAAACTAACATCTATGCATCTTTTTAATTTTCATTGATAGTCTAAATCAGAATAAGAAATTTGACCCCTTAAAAACAGATGTAAGCTTCCACCTGAGACTATAAAAAAAAATCAGACTTATTTTGCAGATGGATCAAATCCTAAAAGCCCAAATAACCCAACAGCCAAAGATAAGATTATATGAATCTCAATTTCGCTTTTTGACCTTGTAAAGCTTAAAAGTGGTATTTTTCCTCTTAAACCAGTAGTTCATCTCTAGAAATAAACACAGGGAAATAGTTTTTCAGAGAAAGAAGCTCTATTTCTCAATCAGATGCAACTACACTGATATTTTCTGCAGTGAAATAACATCATTTCAAACTCCACCAGTAAATAAACTGAAGGTGCTTTCTGTTGTTTGGAAATAACTTTCATTAAAAGCTAAGGTTACACATACCTCATATACAGCACATATTGGAGCAAATGTGCCTGGGCATGTCTTTTAGAACTTGTATTTTCCTGGTGTACGAGGGATTCCTAAGACTGCCGGAGCTGGTGTGGTTTCAAAGGTAAAGCTGCCTAACCATCAGGCAATGAGAAACCTGATTACCTGCTTGACACAGCTTCAAGGACGATGGGCATGCTCTGTTCCAAATCAAACTTCAAAAGAATACCTTAATCAAACAAACTGCACATATGAGGTATCCAAGGACAGCACAACAAAGGCTGCTTTGCAGGGACAGAAAGAAAGAAAGAAAGGAATGGGAAGCAATATAGCCAACCCTCATGGACAAAATGATGCAAACTCATAAAGGAAGTGAAAATTGAGGTATCCAAGTGCATTTGAACAAGGTAAAAAAAGTGGGCTGAGTTCTTAATTAATTGCATAAGCAAAAATTCTGTACACCTCCAGACCCACATGGATCAATCAGCTGTTCTTCTAAAGGTTTTCTTCACAGTTTAGAAAAAAGAAGAAAGTCAGATCCGTGACTGACCTGTGAAGTAACCCAGTGACTGCAAATTCTGAAGATTTCTCACCTCTGGTGACTGTTCTTACCAATAGAAAAACAGTCTTTTTCCATTACTGTGAGTGGATAAGATCCATGATAGGTCTCTAGAGGATCTAGCCTTGTCAGGCAAGCATATTTCTCTATGAGTGAATTTTGGGGGAAAACCACAAAAAGTTATCTGGAAAGCAGCATCAGTTAACAAAGAATCAGCATCCAAAACCTATTTTGAATGTTGGTTGAGTCTAAGAAAATCCAATTTGGAAGAGTGTTCAGTATTCCCTGTGCATAACTGAGGTTGGTGCAAGCATGGCTACATGTTAGGTTTTCAAACCTAAGCATCTCAGTCGAACCAGATAAAACAATACCCAGAGTCTGAAAACTGCCCCTTCAAAAGGCAGATGTGTGGGTGGGGGTCAGGTGTCTTTGATGCAGGCCAGATACGGCGCAGGAATGTGCAATATCCTGCTTCCTTCAACACCAGAAAAATCAAAGAGCTAGAAATCCTCTCCCTGC